AGGGTCACTGGAAAGAGGGGCCAGCCCCGTGTCACATCCAGCAGAGACACAGGTACAGCAGGAGGACCTTGGACATGACCATGAGGAGGGCCTTGGGGACCACACCGTGTCCCCAGCACACGAAGCATGCCTGGCAGACAGGATGGATTTAAGGACGGACGGACAGATGGATGGATGGATGGATGGATGGTAGATGGATGCAAAGACAGAGGAATAGATGGACAGATGCATAGATGGACAGACGGATGGATGGACAGACAGAATGAATGATCTGAGAGATCGGAAAGGCTTCATGAACAAAGTGAGACTGAGCTGCATCTCCAGGGGACTCTCCTCCTGAGTCAGGAATGACCCAGTGTCCTGGTCCAGCGAGGAAGTCAGCCTGGCTTGACTGATGACACTTGTGGTGAATTTCAAAGTCCCTTAAAATGAGGCCAAGTGAGGTTGGGCAGTTCCAAGCCAGCTCGGGACTCCTCAGCCACACCGCACAGCTGTCTGACGGGACGTGTCACTCAGGGAGTTGCTGGAAGCTACTGGGCCCAGTGTTGCCATCAGCACCAACGGCTTCAGAGAAGGGAACACACACTAGGGTGACCCCAAGGCTGTGGGCAGCACCTGCCTCAGACGGGACAGGCACAGATACACCACTGGGAGGCTGGCCACCCCCTGCCCTGTGCCCAGGTCACAGCCTGCACACGGCAGCCCTGTGCCCCTCACACCCAGCAGGTTCCTGCTCCAGCCTGGCTCCTGGGCTGGCCCCAGGTGTTGGCCTTGGGATGTTCAATCCAAGCAAAATTCACTGAGGCATGTGTTTGGCAGCGGGACCCAGCTCAGTGTTTTAGGTAAGTGGCTCCCACAACCTTCCCCAGCCTGTCCCACCCTCTCCTGTCTCTGGAAAATCTGTGTTCTCTCTTTGGGGCTTCTTCCCCTCTGCTCTCCCAGCCTTAAACACTGAACCCTTCCTTTCTCCATGGGGTCTGGGGAAGTAGGCTAGTCTGGGGGTAACTGGTGGGAAGGGCCTCACAGTGGGAGCAGACACCTTCAGGTTTCCAACAGCGGGATGCAGCTTGGTCGCGGGGCCTGGGCTGGGATTAGGCAGAGTCAGGCTCCTCCCCATTTCCAGGCCAGATGTCTGAGCGAGGGACAGAGGCCGGTTCTAATGAGGGCGCTGCAGTGGCCTTAGAGACAGTCCCCGGGACCCCAGGGTCTAGGCTGAGGGCTGGATGCCCATCCAGCCTGTGAAGGCCACAGAGGTCACCCCAAAGGGAGACCAATGAAGGGCACAGAGAGGGCTCGGTCCAGGCTGCAGCTCTCTGGCCTGTGCTGGGTCATGAGGACATGGGGACACAGAGGGATGGATGAGACTGGGTGAGGTGCCAGAGCCCAGCCCTCCCAGGATGGTCACCAGAAAGGAGAGGCTCTCAGGGCAGAGATGTGTCCGTCTCTGGAGCCCCATCACCCCGGGGACCCAGAGTCTCTGTTCATGGGTCGGCCTCCCACCTTCATTTGAGGAAGGGCATCTTAGAGCCAGGAGGGAACTAGGGGGAGTAAATGGGGTGCAGAGAACTCCATGGCCGCCAGGTGAAGTCCAGGGGCATCAGAAGCTGCTGGGGTGGGCATGGGGGCTGCAGTGCCCCAAAGTCTGGGGGAGCAGCCCCAAGAACGTAGCCAACGTGAAGGGTCCTGTGGTCGGGCTGGTGGGGACAGGGAGACGGCAGAGCCCCAGAGCGTGTGTGTGTGGAGCCCATGCTTCACCAGCAGAGCTGAGTGGGCCAGGCTGGGGCACAGCCTGGTGTCCCAGGGGATGGGAAGCTCCAGGCCATGCCATGCTTGGGCCTCCCCACACCCTGACAAATGGTTTGTGTGCTGTGGGACGGACCCCTAGATTCCAAACTCAAACTCCGGAAACCAGGAAGGAGGGAGCAGCCTGCCTTGAAACCGAGGGGAAACCGAGGCTGCAGAGGAAGGGCTGGGCCAGGGCACCAGGGAAAGGTGACTTGGGAAGGGCTTCTGGGAAGGTAGAGGGCTGTCTGCTCTCCAGAGGGCTCCAGTGGAAAGGAGGGGGATGAGGAAGGAGAGGCCCAGGGTGGACCCGACGGCCCCACCACGAACCCTCCCAGAGACTTTAGACGAAGAGGCGTGCTCCACGACGCCCCACACTCCCTCTGCCATCTCTCACCCTGCTCTGTCCACACAGGTCAGCCCACAGCCAGCCCCTCGGTCACTCTGTTCCCGCCCTCCTCTGAGGAGCTCCAAGCCAACAAGGCCACACTGGTGTGTCTCATGAATGACTTCTATCCAGGAATCTTGACGGTGACCTGGAAGGCAGATGGCACCCCCATCACCCAGGGAGTGGAGACCACCACGCCCTCCAAACAGAGCAACAATAGGTACACGGCCGGCAGCTACCTGAGCCTCACACCGCAGCAGTGGAAGTCCCGCAGCAGCTACAGCTGCCAGGTCACGCACGAGGGGAAAACCGTGGAGAAGACAGTGGCCCCTTCAGGATGTTCTTAGGCCCCCAACCCTCACCCCACCCACAGGGGCGTGGAGCTGCAGGTTCCCAGGGGAGGGGTCTCTCCCTGCATCTCAAGCCATCCACGCTTCCTGTACCCAGTAAACCCTCAATAAATATTCTCTTTGTCAACAAGAAAGCCTGCTCTCTCTGCATTTCTTATCTCTCATAGAATTTGATGCTTCTCCTGGCTTCTCAGTGTGGCGCTAGGGGCATCCTGGCACCAGTGGAAAGTAGCCTGGGGGAGAGGATCACAGCCTCCAAGGGGTGTCTCCTGGGGAAACAGGCCAGGATAGGAGTCTGCTCACTCAACACCAGTCCCTCCATTCTCTCCCTCCTCCCTTCCTCTTTGCAGCTCAACCCCTGACTCGCGGCCTGCTTTCTGGAGGGAGCTATTTCTGGTTGAGCCTCCAGATACGCCCTCTCGACCCTCTACCCTCCCACGGCCTCTCTTTCCTCAGCCTAGAAATCCTACTCTGGGCCTGGAGCCCCTCTGCCTCTGGCCCTGGCCCCTGGAATGTTCTTCCTCTCTGCCCAACTCCCCACCACTGAGAGCTAGACTGTCCAGGACACTCCAAACACCATCAGATTCATGAGCTCTTACATTCTGGGCCCACCTTGATTTTTCACCTGACAGCAGGTTCAGAGGTGTGAGAAAAATAGGAGGAAGCCAGGAAGGAAACACACATGAAAGGCCTACAAGAGGCTCAGGACACTTGTAAAAAGATAGGCTCTGAGCTACCCAGGAACCAGTGCAAGAAGGGTAATAGGTGCTCCATCATTTCTAAGAGGTTAAACAAGTCTTTGCTCAAAGGAAGTTGGTGTTCTCCATGCTGAGGGCTGAGGCCAGGCATCTCATCATAATTAAAAGTGGGGATGTGTTTTACCCAAGGCCTCACTATCGATGGGATTTGGGCTCCAACATGTGCACAGGTATCTGCCTGGCAGCCCTAGGATGTGGAGATTTTCTCAGATGCTTGGCACAGAATGTCATTGTCACTGGCCATCTTTGGAGGAAGCATCCTTTTTTTTTTTAAATTGTACTCTGGGCTCTGGGGTACATGTGCACGTCCTGCATCCTGCAGGATTGCTGCATAGGTACATACATGCCATGATGGTTTGCTGTCTCCATCCTCTCCACTGGCCCCTACATCAGGCATTTCTCCCGGTGTTATCCCTCCCCATCCTCCCCCCCCCCCCCCCCCCCGCTGTCCCTCCCCTCCCCTCCCCTCCCCTCCCTTCCACCCCCAACCTAGCCCTGCTGTGAGTGTTGTTCCCTGGGGAAGCATCCTTTTTGGGAAACACTTCTCCATTGGATCCTGGGCCTCAGGTGGAAAACCAGGTCCTGCACTGAGACTTTCTCTGTGAGGCTCCCTGGGTCTGGGGCTCCAGCTGCTCTCTGAGGGAAAGGTGTGGGGGAGAGAACACGGCCCAGCCCCTCCTGCATGCTTCCTGCTCAGGAGGGGGTCAGAGGGGTGGGGGCGCCAGCAGTGGTCAGGCCTGTGTGTCCGTGGGTGGAGCCAGGGAGGGTCCTCCAGGCATCCTGGGGAGTCTGTCCCACGGCCCCTGTTTGACTTTCCGGTGGCTGCTGTCACAGATCACCCCTAAGTTAGTGGCTTAAAACATCACACACTGATTCTCTCCCAGGTCTGAAGGTCAGAAGTCCAAAATGAATCCTCAAGTGCTAAAATCAGGGCTCAGCAGGGGCGGCCTCCTTCTGAGGGCTCTGGCGAAAATCCACTTCCAGGATGTTTTCAGCTTCCAGAGGACGCCCTGGGCTTCTGGCCCCTTCCTCCAACTTCAGCGCCAGAGCAGCCCCCACTGTCTTCTCTCATCCTCCCTCCTTCTCTCCCTTTCTTTCCCTCCACCCCACACCTTCTCTCACTCTGACCCCCCTACCTCCCTCTTTCCCTTATAAAAACCCCACCTTGGACCCACGCAGATAACCCAGGATCATCTTCCACCTCAGGCTCCTTAACACTGTCACCTCCGCAAAGTCCCTGTGACCACACAACACAGCACATGGACAGGTCCCGGGACTGGGACACAGGCCTCCCTGGGAGGTCCTAACTCAGCCAACCACAGCTTCTTTCCCCGTCTCCAGGTATGAGAAGGGAACGCACAGAGGTTGGTCAATGGATCCTCGCAGGTTCAGCGAATGTGTTCTAATGTTGGACAGCAGAGTAGAGTAGCTGTCGTTAGCAACAGTGTATTTGCAGTGGTTCCTGGGGAGCTCAGAGCCCATCTTTCGCAAGTGTCCTGAGCCTCTTCCAGGCCTCTCATGTATGTTTCATTCCTTCCTCGCTTCCTCCTGGCCTTGACCTCCCAAAGTATATTTCAAAATAGCTACAAGACAGGACTTGAAATATACTCAACACAGAGAAATGGTGAATACTCAAGGCCATACCCCAAATACCCTGACTTGATGATGACGTGCTGGATGCGCTGAACCAAACATCACACGTACCTCATAGATAGGTCCAATATTATGTATCAGTATAATATTTTCTATTCATAAGAAAGGTCAAAAAAAGAACTTAAGCATAAATTAGCCATTTGACCCAGAAATCCCAGCCCTAGAAATTTATCCAGAAGAAATAAAAGCATGTGTTCAAAAAAGATGTGTAGGCTGGTCACAGTGGCTCACACATGTAATCCCAGCATGTTGGGGGGTAGAGGAGGGTGGATCATGAGGTCAGGAGATCGAGACCATCCTGGCTAACACGTTGAAATTCCGTCTCTGCTAAAATACAAAATTAGTTGGTCATGGTGGCACACGCCTCTAGTCCCAGCTATTTGGGAGGCTGAGGCAAGAGAATCTCTTGAACAACATGGGAGGCAGAGGTTGCAGTGAACCAAGATCGCACCACTGCACTCCAGCCCGGGCAACAGAGCGAGACTTGGTCTCAAAAAAACAAAACAAGGCCGGGCGCGGTGGCTCACGCCTGTAATCCCAGCACTTTGGGAGGCCGAGGCGGGTGGATCACGAGGTCAAGAGATCGAGACCATCCTGGTCAACATAGTGAAACCCCCTGTCTACTAAAAATACAAAAATTCAGCTGGGCATGGTGGCGCGTGCCTGTAATCCCAGCTACTCAGGAGGCTGAGGCAGGAGAATTGCCTGAACCCAGGAGGCGGAGGTTGCGGTGAGCCGAGATCGCGCCATTGCACTCCAGCCTGGGCAACAAGAGGGAAACTCCGTCTCAAAACAAACAAACAAACAAAAAACAACAAACAACAATAAAATACGTGTCACCGGCTGGGCGAGGTGGCTCATGCCTGTAATCCCAGCACTTTGGGAGGCCAAGGCAGGCGGATCACTTGAGGTCAGGAGTTCCAGATCAGCCTGGCCAACACGGGGAAACTCCGTCTCTACCAAATATACTTATATAAAAAAGCCGGATGTGGTGGCGGGCCCCTGCATCCCAGCTACTCAGGAGGCGGAGGCAGGTGAATCGCTTGAACCCTGGAGGCAGAGGTTGCAGTGAGCCGAGATCACGCCACTGCACTCCAACCTGGGCGACGGAACAAGATTTGGTCTCATAAAAAAAAAAAAAAAAAAGACATATACATAAATGTTCCCAGCAGTCTCATTCACTACAGCCAACAAGTGGTGACAACCCAAGTGTCCATCAGCTAGAGAATGGACAGACCCATGTGGTCTAACAGTACCGTGGAGTGCTGCTCAGCTATCAAAGGAAAAAAGAACGAGGTAGGGATGAATTTCAAAAACATGACAGTGAGCAAAACAAGTAACATTCCACGAGGGGAGTTGGTGGGGATGAAAATACTGACCTGGCAAAATTTTACTCTGTTCATTGCGGTATTAGGTACTGAGTACCTACTGACCAGGTACTGTGCTAGGTGCGGCCGCTACAGAAATGAGAAGCAGACGCCATCTTCATTCTGATGACACTCACCAAATCAGCTGTTTCTGATGAACATTCAGGTACCTTGACTCTCACTCATCAGATTTTCACGCTTTACTTAATGCGGCTTAAATCACCCTATTACCCAAGTCTCTTTTCTTCTTCTTCTTCTTTTTTTCTTTTTTATTGAGACAGAGTCTTGCTGTTGCCCAAGCTGGAGGGCACTGGTGCCATCTTGGCCCACTGCAACCTCCATCTCCTAAGTGCAAGCAATTCTCCTGCCTCAGCTTCCCGAATAGCTGGGATTACAGGCATGCGCCACCACACCCAACTAATTTTGTATTTTTAGTAGAGAAGGGGTTTCTCCATGTTGTCAGGCCGGACTAAAACTCCCGACCTCAGGTGATCTGCCTGCCTCGACCTCCCAAAGTGCTGGGAATACAGGCGTGAGCTACTGTGCCTGGTCTTTTTAATATTTATTTATTTATTTATTTGAGACAGAATCCTCTCTGTCACCCAGGCTGGAGTGCAATGGCTCAATCTCAGCTCACTGCAACCTCCACCTCCCTGGTTCACGTGATTCTTCTACTTCGGCCTCCCGAGTACATGGGATTACAGGGCTCGCCACCAGGCTAGACTAATTTTTGTGCTTTTAGCAGAGACTGGGTGTAAATGTACTTTCGCCACGTTGGCCAGGCTGGTCTTGAACTCCTGACCTCAGGTGATCCACCCGTCACAGCCTCCCAAAGTACTGGGATTACAGGTGTGAGCCACCACGCCCTGCCGTAACCAGGGTTTTATATTGAGTTCGTTGCCAAGAGTGACTTCCAATAAAACCCTTCTGTACTTTTCTCAGGACTGGAAAGCTCAAGCAGCCCAGGATGAATAATGCAGTCCCCACGGAGGGGCAGGGTGGCCACAAGGTGGGCAGCATCAGGGACGGGCATTATGACATTTGGGTGGGGTTGCAGTGCATGGCTTTGTGAGCCACTAGCCTGACTTGGTTGTTTCCTGGTAACCAGGTGACATAGGAAGCTTTGTGGGTGATAGGCATCAGCCAGGGCCAGCAGCCTTCAGTCGGAAGCTAGGAGTGGGGAGAGGAGGAGCTCCGACTAGACTGTCTCACGGCAGTTTTTGTGCCTCTTGGCGCTTACTGTGTCCTTTGGTTTTTAAAATAAGACAGAAGGTCTTCTCCTAGGTGGTCCATGGGGAACACCTTGAGCTGTTGCCTGGGCCCCAGGGCTGGCCCCAGATGTGGCTTCTGCAGGCG